TGAAGAGGCCAAAGTGCCGCATGTGGCTCGAGAGCCGCGGTTTGCCAAGCCGCAGTTTGCCGACCACTGGTCTAGCTGCTATTGCTAATCTGTAATCGTGTGTGTGTTTTTGGTCTTACTTTTTACATATATATTAACTAACACATGGTTGACCCCCAATCTAGCAGAGGACACAATGACAGTATTGATTGTCTTCTTCACCAAGGCAAGAGAATTGCACAATCTCCATTTTTGTGCCAGCATGATAAATTTTAGTGATCTCAGGTCTTCTTTAACATATCTGATAAAATATCTAAGTCATGCTCCCTTAAAGAAGGAGTATGAATCAGAAGAAATGGCAAGTCCATGGTAAAAACTGCAACCCAGATCTGTTCCAGGAAAATAGTTTAGCAGTCAACAAAGATAATATTAAATTAAAAGAAAAGAATTGATTCAAGTCAGTTGGTTTTCACTATTCTTTATATATCTAAAATGTAAGAACCACATTTATTTGTTTTTTTATTGATTACATATGTGTCCTTATCCCCCCATTGCCCCTCACCCCCCTAGTGTCTGTGTCCATTGGTTAGGTTTATATGCTTGCATACAAGTTCTTTGGTTGATCTCTCTCCCTTCCTCCCACCCTTCCCTGCCTTCCCTCTGAGGTTTGACGGTATGATCGGTATGATCGATGCTTCTCTGTCTCTGGATCTGTTTTTGTTCATCAGTTTATGTTGTTTATTATATTCCACAAATGAATGAGATCATATGATATGTATCCTTCTCTGACTGGCTTATTTCACTTAGCATAATGCTCTCCAGGTCCATCCATGCTGTTGCAAATGGTAGGAGTTCCTTCCTTTTTACAGCAGCATAGTATTCCATTATGTAGATGTACCATAGTTTTCTAATCCACTCATCTTCTGATGGGCACTTAGAGTGTTTCCAAATCTTAGCTATTGTAAATTGTGCTGCTCTGAACATAGGGGTACACATATCCTTTCTAATTGGTGTTTCTAGTTTCTTGGGATATATTCCTGGAAGTGGGATCACTGGGTCAAAGGGGAGCTCCATTTTTAGTTTTTTGAGGAAACTCCATACTGAAGAACCACATTTAATACGATTTCTTTTTTAACAATTTATTTGGTGTTTTTAAATTTACTTCTGCAAATTGTTTTTATTGACTGATTTTTTTTTGAGAGAGATCACTTTGTTGTTACACTTATTTATGCATTCATTGGTTGATTCTTGTATGTGCCTTGACTGGGGATGATGACACCTGCCACTTGGGCATGTGAAGAAGATGCTCTAACCAACTGAACTACTTGGCCCGGCCATTTTTAACAATTTAGACTTATTCATCCTTCTCTTTTTTCCCTTACACTTCTTTTTTTTTTAAATTTTGTTTTATTGCTTAAAGTATTACAAAGAGTATTACATATGCTTCCTTTTTTTCCCCCTTGACATACCCCCGGCCTCCCCTACCCCCCAGTGTCTTGTGTTCATTGGTTATGCTTATATGCATGCATACAAGTCCTTCGGTTGATCTCTTATCCACCCCCACCCTCCCTTCCCGCTGTAGTTTGACAGTCCCTTACACTTCTTTACCCTCCCCCCACTGAAGTCAGAGCTTTGTTTCCACATAGCCTTATTTCACAAAAATACTTTATTTGAAATTATTCGAGGACACTTATAATGCCTTGAACATATATTTTTTCAGTTTGACTCTAATTATGACATAAAAATGATTTTTTTTTCTATATAAGTGTACCTGTGTGTAAACTAATTCTGATACCATATAATTGTTCTATGATAACTTCAATAAACTTTGGATTCTGACAGTGTATGCAAGGCTTTTGGTAGCAGTCCCACTGCAACCAAATGCAGTCTTTTAAATATTATCCAAATGTCAGTAATTAATTAGAAATTAACTCATGGTATGTATCCATTGCACATTTTTCTGCCAATATCTTCTGGGTCTAGTGAAGACAATAGGGATATTTGTGTTATGATGATTTCTGTTAGTATTTATATAATTTTTCAAAACACTTTTGAATATTCTTTGTTACATTTTGAATTTTTAAATTCTGTAATTTTAAGCCTTTGTAAATAAGGACATTTTCTGTTTAGGAGAAATTATTATTGAGAGAAACTTCAATATTGTCACATAATATTTGATTTGGATGATTTTGAGAATTTCTGGGTCTAATAAAACCTCAGGAAGTATTTTCAGGGCTAGATTTATCAAGCTAACACTCTAAAGGCAAATTTGTTGGCCATAGTATACAATCCAACAAACTTTATTACAGCAAAATTTGAACTAGAATGTAATACCATCAATGAATCTTCCCATGAGTCTCAAAAACCAGAGACAAGGAATTTCATTTCTTCCCATTGTCAAAGATCACACTTTGATATAAATACTCTGTTCATTAAAAATATCTCAAGTACATCTATGTAAATTACTATCGTAAATAAGTTTCTCCCTGCAGTTTTATATGCCTAGACTAGAGAGTGTTCTCTAAATTTGGTTTATAATCCCTAAAGGTTCTCAAAATCTTAATTCTATTCAACTCTTTACTTTCAAGTTCAGTGTATGGATCAAACAAATTATTTTTTGCCTAATATTTATAAAATGTTGCTTAATTTTGATAGGTGTACAATCCTTTAATTTTATTAAGTTGATTAATTATTTGTCCATAAAAATGATTCTTGCTGTCAGATTTGGCTTCATATATTATGATAGTTTATCAAATCACCACTCAAAATTTGAGTAAAATCTGTATTCAAGATAATTTTATTTTGAATAAATTTTATCCCTAATTTTATTGCCATTCGCCTAAGCCTTCCTCATGGATATAATGAATTTTAAATGAATAGGGACTAGTTGGGGGGTGGGAGGGAAAGAGAGAAACTTTTTCTCTAATACTAATAGCTTTTACATGTTTTGTTTCGTTTTAAGTATGAAGATCTTTGTTATACATTTTATTCCTAAAGAAGAATAGAATTTGATAAACGATTATTATACTGTGGTATTATATTTACATTTGGTGACACAACATATCATAGAGAGGACGTACAGTCCTGAGTTAGCAAAGCCGAGTGCAGTTCCTGGCGTGGACCCTTATCAGCACTGTGACTGTGGGCCATTCACATCCTGAGCTGCAACTTTTATAGCTCCCAGAATTAGGGTTAAATATGTTAATTAGATTAATCAACCTACTCAAAATAATATTTTATTATTTACTCATTTAGTTCATTTGAAAGCAGACTATTATTAAATAAAAAGTATGTAATACATATTCCTAGCCATTTTTGAACGTAATAGTATGTGATAGTAGATGGAAAGAATTAGATTGAATAAGTAATCATATGTCTATCTTGGCTTCCAAAATGCCTCCTTCCCAGTTTAACATCCGTTGTCATTTTAAAAGAATGACTGACTGTTCATTTTAAGAGCATTGTTATGCTAAAATTTATCCTCAGAATGTTAAGTGGAGCAGTACATTTTACTTCCCAGTTAAATAGTTATTTTAAATAATTTTAATGTAATAAGTCCCTCTTAAAGTTTTAAAAATCTTACCTTTAATACAAGTATAGATATTTTTGTGCTTGCTTCATGCCACAACTAACCAATAAAATATTAGTTATATTTCTGCTATAAAGGTTTTCCTTTCTGATTTGTAGACTTTATAAATATGAATTAAACTGTCTTCAAAATAATATACTTGGGATTTTAGCCACACCTCTTTTTTGTCTGGTTATGAAAGTCCAACACATTTATTTTATACAGAATTTTCAGGAAAAGAATCAACTTTTAAAATAAATTAAAACAATATGCTAAAGGGAATACATATATTTTCATATAGTTTGTGTCTTTTTTCATGGATTAATAATTACTGCATATAGTGGATATAAAATATGAATTAGACCTTTGATTTTTCTATATGCAATCTCATTTTCTTCTGTTGTATATGATCTATCATATATATGTATTCAAATATGCACAGAATACATCCCACTTTATCTGAATTAATAATTGCCATAGTTTTCTCAACTTTAATCAATGCTTTTATCTAGCAGTTGAATAAAAACTTCATTTGACATAATTTAGAATGGATGGATCTTATTTATATGAAAGCATGAATTTTTGTATTGTATTACAAATATTTTAGTTGTTGAATGAATGAGTAAAAGAAAGCATCGATTATGTGCCTTTTGTTTTCCTACAATTTACTTTTCAATGCTGTTTTATTACAGCATGCTCTAGATTTTCTTTCTGTATTTTATTTTCTTGCACATTCCTTCCACATTACATTTTATATTACAAAATTGCTAAAATAGGAATGTCTGCTTTTGTATAAATCAATATTTTAAGATGCTTAACAAGATAATTTTTAAAATTTGAACTAGGATAATTATATTTAGCAGTGGAAAAAATTGAAAGTCATGATATAATCACATATAATCATAAATTAAATATTTAATACCACTAATTTTCATTTTAAAAAATATTCTAGTTATCTACTGCTATAGGAATAGCAGTGAATAAACAAGAGAAAAGATCACTGTAGTCATTGAGCTGACAGTTTGGGGGGACAAAAATATTAATAAAAAATAGCACTACAGAAATACAAGTTTTAATTTGCCAGTCTCATTCATCTATGACATGAAGCAGATTACATGGTGCAATAATCAGAGAGAACACTGAAGGTTTCTTGAAGGAAATGATGTTTGAGATATAAAAAAACACACAAGGCAAGCTGGGTGCAAAAGAGAATTTCAGATAGGGAGTGGCATGTGCTGAAGGCATTTGTTAGGATTTGAATTCATCCACACATTCTATGAATGCTTAAATATTTTTTATAGTAAAAATATTTTATTGCAACCAAACACACATGTATATTGATTTCTAGGATGTATTATTTTTTATTTGTTAGTATGAATGTTACTGCTGTTATTAATAATATATCTTTTTTTGCTTATCTGCATATTACTATAAATCAACAATTTAATTTCAGCTACTTGTTCTGGACTGAATGGGGACAGATGCCGTGCATTGGGAAGGCTCGCTTAGATGGCTCGGAGAAGGTTGTCCTCGTAAGCATGGGAATCGCATGGCCTAATGGCATCTCCATTGACTATGAGGTCTGTGGAATTTTCTTTCTTAAATATTTAGAGTGCATTAACTGCCATCTTGATTAATCCTCTTTTAGCAGTCTCTTATTTTCTCAAAACAATCAAACAGAATACACCCCACTTTTTCTGAATTAATAATTGCCACATTTTTCTCAACTTTAATCAGTGCTTTTATCCAGCAGTTGAATAAAAACTTCAGTTGACATAATTTAGAAAGGATGGGTCTTATTTATATGAAAGCATGAATTTCTGCATTGTATTACACATATTATATTTGTTGAATGAATGAGTAAAAGAAAGCATTGACTATACACCTTGTATTTCCTACAGTCTACTTTTCAATGCTGTTTTATTACAGCATGCTCTAGAATAGATTTTTTTCTGTGTTTTATTTTCTCCCACATTACATATCACATTACAAATTTGCTAAAATAAGAAGGTCTGCTTTTGTATAAGTCAATATTTTAAGATGTTTCACAAGATAATTTTTAAAATTTGAATTAGAATTATTATATTTAGCAGTGGACAGAATGGAAAGTTATGATGTATTCACCTATACATCATAAATTAGATATTTAATACCACTAATTTTCATTTTTAAAAAGATTCTAGTTATCTACTGCCATAGGTATAACAGTGAGTAAACAAGAGTAAGGATCACTGTACTCATTGAGCTGACAGTCTTACTTCCTCAATAAAACAATCAAACACAGCTTGTAATGTTACTTTTCAATTGATCTTTAGGAAAATAAATTGTACTGGTGTGATGCCCGCACAGACAAAATAGAAAGAATCGACCTTGAGACTGGAGGGAATCGCGAGATGGTGCTGGCAGGGAGCAATGTGGATATGTTTTCAGTTGCCGTCTTTGGGGCTTACATCTACTGGTCTGACAGGTAATTTATTTTTTCATGAGCCTTTGAGACTCAGAATGTTATTTCAGTGCCCGTTAGTTGCTTTACCCTTGTAGGATTAGCCATCCCTTAGCAAGGTCGGGAAAGGATTTCACAAAACCTTGTAATTTCCGCAGGAAAGGCCGGCCACACTTCCTCTTCTAGGCTCACCCGTTTCAATGTCACAGATGAAGAGTTGATTTCTTTCCCTTTTGCTGGGATATCTGTTATCTTGAGCTTAAATAACTGACTTGGTTTGAATCAAAGAACGTTGATCATGTATGTTCATCTTCTCGTCAGAGCACATGCCAACGGGTCCATCAGGAGGGGCCACAAAAATGATGCTACAGAAACCATAACCATGAGAACGGGGCTTGGAGTCAACCTGAAGGAGGTTAAAATCTTTAACCGAGTAAGAGAGAAAGGTTAGCCTTCTCGTATAATAAATATACTTTATGCTATTTCTTTCTCTCATTTCTTTTTAACATTTATCAAACTTAGGTTAGGGATTAATTCATATTTGAGTCCAAAACCTCACAGCCCTTTTTTTTTGAGGGGGGGAGGTGGGGTGTCTTATTTCTTAATAAAATAAATGTATAATAGTTCATATATAGATATATTTGCTTAGGACAGTTTGTGTATATGGGCAGATTATATTCCTGGTATGATTTCAGTATAGTTTGGGCTAAGTAATACAGAAAAACTTGATACACATAGTCAATGAAAAAAATACAAAGCAAATTGGGATATTAGAGAGTAAAATGTTTGTTTTTATTATATTTTAATAAATAAAGTAATTATGGCTCCAGAAGTTTGCTGTTAGTGTGAAATATTTCCAAAGTCATCACTTCTTTAAAATGTATATTTTGAAACTGATATGACAGTGATTTGGATATTTTTTTAAAAATTACCTCCATTAAAATAATATTTGGTTTATGTTCATTAAAATAAATTGCATTTCATTTTCTTGATATTCAAAGAAAGATATAATACTTTTGAAGATGATGATGGATTCACAGAGAATTAGTCTGATGGAGAAATCTTAATAACATATTACATCTTCACTCAAAACTGGAGTAAAAAACTTATTCCCAATATTCTTAAGATGTTAGGCACATTGGAGCCATAAATTCCTTTGATACTTTATGTACTTTGTAGATACAGAGAATTGAGTAGTGCATGATTTTTTTTGTAAATTCACTTTATGTTTTTAGTGAATCTGCTACTTATGCCAAAGATTACAGTACATATAACTTATTATATTTTCAGTATTAAGTTTCAAAAAAGAGTTATACACGTAACTAGCAGATTAAGGGAAATTCTAAGTGCTTTTATTTGGATGGTGAGGGAAGTAGAAGAATGTGATCTTTGAAATAAGAAAATCAGGGTTTTTAAGATTGTGTGATTTAAAAACTCAGTACTTTATAGTATTTGGTTTTTGATGGCCATTTTAAAATTAAGAATAAATACAAAATATTCAATATTAATTTTTTAATATTTATATTAGGAAAATATATTTGGAAAACAAAAGAAAGATATAAATATGTGTGTGTCTGTGTTATCCCTTTTCAATCCTTAGGGACCAATGTTTGTGCCAAGGACAATGGTGGATGCCAGCAACTTTGTCTTTATAGAGGAAATTCCCGGAGAACTTGTGCTTGTGCCCATGGTTCTTTGGCAGAGGATGGAGTTACTTGCCGAAGGCATGAAGGCTATTTGCTGTATTCAGGGAGAACGATATTAAAAAGCATACATCTTTCTGATGAAGCCAATTTAAACTCACCAATAAGGCCATATGAGAACCCACATTATTTCAAGAATGTCATAGCCTTGGCTTTTGACTATAATCAACAAAGAAGAGGTACCAACCGAATTTTTTACAGTGATGCACACTTTGGAAATATACAGCTTATTAAAGATAACTGGGAAGACAGACAAGTCATTGTTGAAAGTAAGTACAAGAATTTATTTTAAAATACTTTGATGGAAATGAGTATCCTTTGGATCAGTAGAGAAATTAGAGTGGTAATTCCATGGAGGAATAACATTTTCCTAAAGTTTATATTCAAGAATTAATGCAACTAAATTATCCAACCCACCAAAAGTCAAAGAAATAATTAACTGCTAGCATGTACAGCAAGCATGTTAAACTCGAAGCCTGCAGGCTGCATGCCTCATTTATTTGGCCTGTATTAGCCTTTGAGTTTGACATGCTTGACAGCATATACATTATGATTATTTGCCTCTAATCATGGAACTTTCAATATATTCCCTCATAATATTTCTTATAAATACTAGTAAGTAGATTAAAATTCATGGAAAATGATTTTCAGTATAAATCTTACTAATTTTATTTCACTGGATAAAAGTATATCTTTAAGAATATCTTCTTTTTTAAAGAATATAGTCTTAATTATTTCAGTGAATTTGTTTTCTCAAATAAATCTTTTAATATATAGTATATATACATAAATGTACAGTCTTGATAAAAAATGTTATTAAAAGAAAGACTTTATTATTTAAAAATACTTTAAATCTTTATTCAAGCATAATATTGTGTAGATTATCCATTTATAATTTAGAGAAACCTTTTTCCTATCATCCAGCTTTTACAAGGACTATCTTCATATTCCTCATACAGCATCTCTCTTTTTTCTATCTTTATGTGATTTCTATATATTCCCCACTTTTCCACTTTCACTATACTGAGATCAATCACTTTTGTTACATTTTAAATATTAAATACTATACGTATTTATTATAAAGGCTTCAAGTTATATGGGCTTAAAAATGATCATTCTGCTTCTACATACAACATTGATTCAATTTATTTACTCATAATTGAAGATTGTTATGCCTCTAGAATTTATTATGCATGTGTGTGAGTGTTGTTGGTAGTTACAAAAAATAGAATGATCCTATATGCATTATTCGGTTGCTTTTTTCCCACCTATAATATATCTTGAAAAGCTTTCATTTCAGTACATAGGCTGCATCTTATTCTTTTGAAAGCCTGTTCCTAATTCTATACTAAGGATAAAGTAATTTACTTAACCATTTTCTTATTGATAAACATTTAGGCTGTTTCTGGTATCTCATCATTATTTACAATGGCACAGTAAACATTTGCATATATAAGTATGTGTATTCACATATATGATATTTTTAGCATAAAATCATAGGAATAATAGAATTGCAAAGTCAGTATTTATTTTATTATTTTATAGCTGATTGAATTTCTCTCAAAAAAGGACATATCATTTTATGTTTTCATCAATTATCTGTAAAAACCTATTTTCCTTACTTTTGCCAACAATGATTTTCTTTTTTTAATTTCTTTATTGATTAAGGTATTACATATGTGATTTTATAATTTTTATCTTATGACTAACAAATAAAAATGTCAACATATATTAATATACATTTACCTGCTAACATATGAGCTCCAGCATCTAATTCTATGTTTACTCATATAAAAATAGATATTTCAGATCAGACTTTGTACTGTACACCCCATGCTATATCTGCCACTGCTCAATTTGTTCTTTCAACATTTAATATCCTTCACAATCCATTTTGTTTGTTCAGATCCTATATAGCCTTTCCAAATGAGTTCAAGTATATACTTTATAAACATATTTACTATACAAATATACATTCTTGTTCTTTTATTCCCTAGGTTATTGATAATTTCACACCAATTTGTTTATTTTAGCACATACCATTTTGACGGTTTGTGTGTGCGTGTGTGTGTGAAAATACAACTATAGCAGTACTGGTCACAGAGTTCAGATGTATTTGATTCTTTGGGAATATCTATATGAAGTTTACATTATAATATGCTTTGGTCTTCCATTTTCCTAGACGTATGCAATTCAGAGTTGGAAGTGTTCACATTATATCCATAATATATTAATGAACTTATTCATTTGTTGTGCTCCAATTTTTATTTTGTCAGGCACCTGGAAGTAAAAATGAATATAAGTTCATAGACTTCAGAGGCCACAGTTTAAGAGGAAAGCTACAAATGAATAACATTGAAATTTAATAGAATTCACAAGATTCCAAAGGCCTAGAGAATATTTAAAAATCTTCCTGAGGAAGGGAGAGGAGTCCACTGAGCTGAGTTGAGGAAATTTAAAAGATCAATAGGTGTCTGTCAGTTGATTGGGTCAGGTGAAAAAGAGGCTAGAAAGAGGAATAATTCTAGACATGTGGTTTCCTGGGCATCCCCAATTCATGTTCAAGGAGTCTAACAGATCAAAACTGTCTCATAGTAATACTAGATATTTGCCTTTTGAAACTGTGTTGACATCTGCGCTGATGGTGCAGAAGTAATGGTGGATGAATTGCTAGTACCTTTGACTAATCAAAACAGTGGCACTGCTCTGCTGGTGTGGCTCAGTTAGTTGGAGAATCATCCTATGCACCAGAGGTCTCAGGTTAGATTCCTGGTCAGGGCCCATACCTGGGTTGCGGGTTCAATACCCGCTCAGGGCACGTGCAGAGGGAGGCCAATATCTCTCTCTCTCTCTAAGCTTGTCCTCAGGTGAGGATTCAAAACCAAATCAAAAAACAGTGGCACCAAACTGTATTAATAGCAATTGTAATTTTCACTGCCACTTAATAGTAGTAAAAAAAAAAGACAATTTCCCTTAACATTTTTGAAGAAAGAGTAAAAAATTAATTTTATTATATTCTGATACTTCAGTACACATCTTTTAAACACTCTGTGTAGTAAAATGCACATAATACACTTTTTATGCACCCTGAAGTATGGTATGCATTCATGGTTTCATTTACCTGAAGGAAACCCTGTATTTGTGTGATTATTTGAATTCCAGCTTCTTTTAAGGAATGTTATTTTTCACTTGAAAGAATGAGGAATAGACAAACTATAGTTATTCAAACCTAGGTGTGTGACAGACATTTTCTAGATAATTGGCACAATGAGTCTGTCACTACAAAGAAATATGTTACGGTGTTTGTTGCAAATATTAAAAATCAAGCTTTGAGGTAAAATTAAAACTGTGTAAGACTTGTATTCACTACAATAGACTTGATATCTTCCCAATATTTAAAGGCTTTTCTGATGAGAGGAGTGGTAACATGACTAATGTGAATTTTGGGGTATTGTATAATGTGATGTGTCATCATCTGACAGATATAAATAACTCAGAAAAATATTTTCCAAATAATATGATAAAATGATGCATGGGTAAATGATCCATTCAGAGTTCAAGATAAACCAATGAATGTTAATGTAATAGAACATAAGAAGTTCATCATGGTGTTTTCTGATACCACATTAAAGCTAACCTTCAAGTAATGACCACTTGTCATATGTTGGGTAGTATGAAATAATATCCCTTTTCAATTGCATGGCTGTGTGAAGCTGTATTTTCTTCACATAATGTCAACTAAAACACCACAGAAGATAGGATGAGGAAGTAGATGTGAGAATTAAGCTATCTTCTAGTAATCCAGACTTTAAACAGATTTATAAAATTGTAAGAAAATATTTTATTTTTATTTAAAAAATATAGCTACTTACTTAGATGTTATTTATATTAATATGCAAGTAATTCATTTTTGTATTTTAAAATAAATTAATTTACCTTAAAAACAAAATTGTTAGCTTAAATTTCTCATATAGTAAACTAGAGGCCCGGTGCATGAAATTCGTGCCCTCGGGGGGGGTCTCTCGGCCCAGCTGCACCCTCTCGTAGTCTGGAAGCCCACAGGGGATGTCCCACTAATGACATGGGGAGCATGCCTAAGTGTCAGTCGGACATCCTCCATGCTGCCGCAGAGGTGGGAGAGGCTCCCACCACTGATGCTGCACTCACCAGCCTTGAGAGCTCCTGCGTTGAGCATCTGCTCCCTGGTGGTCAGTGTGTATCATAGCAAATGGTTGTTCTGCTGTTCAGTCAATTTGCATATTAGCCTTTTATCATATAGGACTAGAGGCCCGGTGCACAAAAATTTGTGCACTCGGGGGGGGGGGGGGAAGGGGGGTCCCTCAGCCCGGCCTGTGCCCTCTCGCAGTCTGGGACCCCTCAGGGGATGACCACCTGCTGACTTAGGCCCGCTCCCCGGAGGATTGGGCCTAAGATGGCAATCAGACATCCCTCTGGCAGCCCGGCAGCCCTCGGGGGATGTCCACTTGCCAGCGGGAAGCAGGCCTAAACTGCAGTCAGACATCGTTAGTGCTGCTGAGGAGGCAGGAGAGGCTCCCACCACTACCGCTGTACTGGCAGCCATCAGCCTGGCTTGTGGCTGAGCAGAGCTCCTCCCATGTGAGAGCGCCCTGACCACCAGAGGGCAGCACCTGCATTGAGCGTCTGCCCCCTGGTGGTCAGTGTGTGTCATAGTGACCAGTAATTCCCAGTCTTTCTGCTGTTAGGGTCAGTTTGCATATTACCCTTTTACTATATAGGATAGAGGCCTGGTGCACAGGTGGGGGCCCTGAAAGGTGTCCCGGATCAGGGTGGGGTTCCCGCTTGGGTGCCTGGCCAGCCTGGATGAGGGGATGATGGCTGTTTGCAGCTGGTCACACCCCCTTCAGGGTGGGTGTCCCCACTGGTGTGCCTTCCCAGTCTGGGTGAGGGGCTGAGGGCCGTTTTCAGGCTGGCAGGCAACTGAAGCTCCCAGCCTCTCCTTTTTTTCTGTTTGTTTATTTTTTTGTTTTGTTTTGTTTTGTTTTTTTATTCTGGGATTTATTTACCTTCCATAGCTGTCACTTGAGCTGAGAGCCAGCTCCAGCTCTGAGGGCCGGCTCCAGCTCTGAGGCTGTGGCTGGCTGAAATCAGGTATCTGGGTTTGTTTAGCTTCTATAATTGAAACATTGTTGCCATCACTGCCACTCTAAGCTCTGAGGCCCGGCTAGCTGAAAGCAGGTATCTGGAGCTTGTTTAGCTTCTATAATTGCAACATTGTTTCTTAGAGTGC